AATTAGTTATCCATTTCTCAAAAAAATGAATGCTCACCCCTAATCACAACATGTAAAGTCATTATCAAGTGGTAGCAAGTTAAAAGTAAGTACCTGGTGAGGATTTCGGTCTATGATGGACTGCTCCTTGAATTTAAGTTTACATGAGTATTCAACACCGCCCTCAATCCGCATTGTACCATAGTGATCGCAGTACAGTTTTCCAAGTATGAGATTGTATATAGATGTAGTCACCTACAATTTGAAAGAAAGAACAGCATTAGTGAACAAATAAATGGTTATTTGCTCAGTAAATTTGATTGGTACCTTACTCCACTGAAGGATTTCCCCATCATCAAATTGCAAAGTCAATATACCAACAGGATCAAGCTGAATTGATCGACCCCAGAATTTGCTCTTAAGATTGCTGTCTCCCCAGAATTTCCATCCCGTGCCATCACAATGGCATGCCACAACCATAGGATGATGGCTGACCTGACAACAAAACGAATAAGAGATCTGAATAGCTATAGCTATTAAGTAAAACACAGAAACATAGATTTGCAGGATGTGAACTGAAACCTTTTCCGAGAAAAAACGAAGGCCTTTGTCTGGATAGTCTGCTTCGTATGTTTCACCCAACAATGGATTAAATGGTTTGCAGATTCTTCCTTCAGTTGATGCATACCCAGATACAGCAAAAGCAGCCACATTAAGAATCCTCATGAGGCTATTTCCCTGAAAAAGTTTTACTTACTGAACAATATGCAAGATACTAAGATAAGGGTTTCAAGTGATACAAGCGTTCTCTATGCTTTACCCTTTTGCCCCATTCAGATGCTCGGTCAAGAAGGTATGAATATTCCAAATCCTCAAAACACTTTTGTAGAGAAGATAGTGGCTCGTTGAAGTAAACAGGAAGACAGACTTTTGTGAGATCCTTGCCTATATTGTCTTTGATCATTGACCAAAGGCTAACACTTTTCTCTTTTTCAACCGGATCAGGTAAACTCTTCCTCCTTTTGACGTGAGGATAGTTGCATCCAATAGACTTGATGGAAGGATCAATATCATCATCTGACCCAAAGCCATCCAGTCCGTCATCATCTGAAGAAAATGATGATGTACGAAAGCCAGAACCACTACTCTTAAAAGAACTTGAAGAAAGAAAGTCACGTGTATCAAAAAAGGTATTTTGTTCCTCATCAGCTTCCTCCTCGGCAGCATCACCTCGTTCATTATCATCATCAGATTCACTGATAGTCCCTTCTGAGATAAAAGTAACCAAGTCAATTGCAAACTTGAATCAAAAGGCAAGTAGACAAAAACAGTTATCTGTAGGAAAATGCTCGTTCAAAGATTAGGTAGCTCAGTGACTCACCACTGAACTTCTCATGTCCAAAATCATTGGAACATCCATTTTCAGCCTGTCTTTGACTCTCGTCTACAACTGTGTTTTCCAAATCTACCTTTTCTGTCTAGAATAACGCAGGGAGAGCAGATTCTTAGCAGAGTATATAGCCACAGAAGAGACAACAAATAAAAAAAGTAATAAAATCTCTTCTAAACTTTGCAGGATTTCTATAGCACTATAACACATAAGGTGCTTGATATAATACCCAGCACAATGAACATATCAACAATTTTACCTCCAGTACAGCACCAATAGATCATTACAGGTCAAACCATCCACTCCAAAATAAATGTCACCATTGCACACAGAACATAACCATAGCTACCGATAAAAAAAAATTGGTCACTGAGAAAAGGAAACAATACTGTAAAAGAAGTAATACCTCCAACTGCCTAAGGGTATCAATGAGAAGCCACTGCTTCTGCTTGAGAAGCACCAACTGGCTTTGAAGTGCTGAGAACTCGGACCTCATAATTTGCTCACAGTCCTGAATGGCTAACTCACATACTCCTTCCTCAATCAACCTTTGCCTAAGCTTCTCCGTCGACATTGACAAATTATTGGTCGGAGCCATCAATTCACAGTTAGACATCCTTGGAAACATGTCTTTGACAGCTTGCAGTGCCTCAACCCAAGTTGTTCGGTCCTCTCGCGTCTCTGCACGCAAATGAAGCCTCTTTGTTCCCGTGAAGATTGAAAATCTCTTATCATCTGATCTACTCTCCCTAACTGAAGATACCTGCACATAAGCAGATATGATTAAAACCAGAGAACCACACACACATCAGCTTCGATAACAGCGATACATTATGGAAATGATCAACATTCTGGACCTAACAATTTCTTAAGTATCCAACCTTAAGATGGACTTCTCCGAATGGCTTGCGGCGGAGTTGGGAACTGCTACTGGTTCCCGGATGCTTGTGGCGTCTGGAGATCATACGAACAGATTCTTCTCCGATCACCTTGGAACCTTTTTCAGTTTCAGGGCTAACGAAGATCTTATCAGGTCCATGGATTTTATAGTAAGAAAGCACACCATCTTGCAAGACGAACCACCTTGGTCTCCATCCTCTACCATAGTTAACCCACTTATGCAATATCCCGGCAATTCCATTTCCAACGATATCGTTAATCTTCACATCAACCGGCGGTTCTCTCACAGCCGTCGCCGGTAACGCTAGAACGCGTTGTCCTAACCGTGAGGCAACGTCACTCTGGTGGTTGAAGGAGAGACTATGTATGAGATGTTGATTGGATTGACCGGAATGATTATTATTATTATAGCTTTGGGAGGCAGATCGGGTCATAATCGGTTCGGATCTTGCGGAACCGAAAGGATTGTCTGATGAGTCGGTGTTCATCAGAAGAGGAGGTTGGTCCGGTAACGGAGGCATCGAAGAAGAGTGATCAGAGACAGTAGAGACGCAACAGAAGGGATGCATGTGAAGAGAAGAAGAGGAAGAAATCGGATCCGATGATTGTGCGGCGGTTGACGACGGTGGAGGAGAGGAAGAAACTTCCGTTCATGGCAGAGCGATGAAACCGGAAGCGAATTGTGAGAAATGGAAGAAGAAAACGAAAAGTTCGGTAGCACAAGAGTCACCGGAGATGCCAAACC